GAACTCACAGAGATCCGCCTGCCTCTGCCTCCCGAGTGCTGGGATTAAAGGCGTGCGCCACCACCGCCCGGCTCTTCTCTATGTCTTAACCTCTCCTTCTCATAAGGACACCACCAATCAGATTAGATTTAGGATCACTCCTAAATGACTCTTCTTTATAACCTTGAGTACATCTGCCACAACTCTTTTTCCAAATAAGGTTAACATCCGTGGGTTCCTTGTAGATGTGAATTTGCAGGGTACTGTTTAACCCAGATGTCCTGTGTGATCCTTCCAATACGGGCAGCCCTAGATTTCCCACTTGGATTTTAGTTTTATCATCCGCATGATCAACATGTTTGACCTTGATGTTGGATTTGTCAGGTGGTGTGACACCTTTGAAAAGTGGTCCATCCCTACTACCACTGGACGTTGTCTAGAAGCAACATTGAGAAGCCCTTGTGTCAACTCCATCTGTGTTTATCTGGGAGTTATTAGAGCTCTGTGTACTATGCCAGTGGCCCTCCTCTGCTCCATACTCTGCCTGGGTCGTTTTGCCCATCTGCTTGGATGTGGCAGGATCACAACTGGAGGAGCTCATGTGGATGGTCCTGTCTACACGGCACATGCCTCGCAGGATGATTTCTCCTATGGACACACATCAGCAAGGGACTTTTTATTCTAATTATCTGTGTGCTCCACCCCCACTCTGGGAGGGAGAGTACAGGACAAAAGAAAGTATTAGCTTTGCCTCTAATTTAAAGGTGTAAGGCAAGCCAGAAGGTGGTGGTCCACGCCTTCCATCCCAAGGCCAGCCTGGTCTACAGAGTGAGTTTCAGGACAGTCAGAGCTACACAGGGAAACTCTGTCTGGAAAAAGGAAAAAGTAAAGATGTAAGACAGGTTAATTAAACAGCCACAATTTTCTAGTTGGTCATAGAAAAAGAGCACCATCTACTCTCTGGTTTTTGTTTCAAGGTATGAGATAGTGCCTGTAAAAATATCCAGTGTGGCATCCAGCACAGAATGACTCAAAAAGAACCCATTCTTTCCTCTGTCCATCCACCCTTTCCTCACATTGTGGGTCCCTGAGGATGTGAGACAGCGTTTAGGGCCATCTGTGGGCAGAAACATCAGCATCTGTGCCCAGTACCCTACCACTCGGGACAGAATTGTCACAAGTGTCTGGTTATGTAGATCCTGCCACTCAGAGCCTTCCGACTGGTTCCTGTATAGCTTGACCAAACAGCAGGGCCTGTGGTTTGGGGCCAGTTTCATTGAGCCTTTGGGTGCCCGAAGAAGAAACCAGAATCTCAAGGACTTAAGTGTACGACAGTTACAGATTAAATACAGACTCAGGCATCACAGTAACCTGCCCTGCAGATGCCCCCAAAGAACCCAGACAACTAGCTCTGCATCACCCTACAAAGGCAGATGCCCAAGGCTGTGAGGCTCAGGATCTGCAGTGGGCAAGGCATTCAACTTGTTACCTTCTCTTTTGAATCTTAAGAGAAATAAAATAATAAACTTCGATTACAAGGGTTGAGGCAGAAAGAATGTGAGGGCCAGAAGTAAAGAGAAGGACTAAGAAAGAGTGGTCTGGACAGTCATTGCCCTTGTGACCTCACAGCAGTTACAGTTACCTGCACTGGATCTCCACAAGACTGGGCCTGTCACTGGCCAAGCCTGAGTCAGGGAGGGACTCACGGGAACCCATACCTCACCTTGTACAACTATTGGCTACTGAGAGATTCTGACGGAGAGGTCACAGGGGGAGCCCACTAGGGTGGTTCAAAACCCACAGGAGGCCTTTGTGAAACTCAGCAGCTCACAAGACAAAACACAAAAACACAGGACTGTAAGAAAGGGATCGAGGAGGGCAGTTGATGAGGGCGGGAGGGAGATAAGTGGTGGAGGTGAGGATAGCCAGATTGATGCATATTCACGGGTAAATTTGTCAAAGAAAAACACTGAGACAATTATTAAAAAAAATACTTGCCCTTAAAACACAGAGTATATGAAAAGGCTTCAAACAGACTTTGAATAAATATGGAATGAACCTTAAAGATAAACTGGGCTGACAGCTTTAGCCCTTTACCTAGAACTGATAGAAGGCTCTTTCCTTGACTTGCACGTGGCAGTTTGATTGGCATCTCTTCTCGTGTTCAAGAGCATCTCCTGGGCACAGATCCTGCTGGGGATCTGCATCAGGGAGAGGCTGAAGTCCTCTGTCAAGCCAGGAGAGGGATGGAAGGGTGTGTGTGAGGCAGAGTCCCCTCCTGCTCCCGTCCTCTGTGTCCCCTCCACTGGTTCATCAGACTGTCTGGTCTGTACTGGAGTCACAGAGACATACAGGAGCCAGAGGTATGGTGCCCAGAGCTGGGAGGAATCTAGACAAACCCGGGCCACATGCTCTCTGCATCTCCTGCTAGGACGAGACAAGGTTGGACCTAAGACTGGAGCTATCACACAAGAGTGGAATGAGGGAACGGTCCTTCCTTCAGCTTCCCGAACTCAGACTTCGAGCAGACATACTCTCAGAACCCTCCCAGTGCCACTGGTGGCCCCTTCCTTTCATAGCTCCAGGCCTCTGCAGACTACCAGCAATCACAGCCAGTTGCAGGGCAGGTTTATGTGGGTACACCTTGTCAGTGCAGGTGGCAGCAGCCTTTCTCCATGGAGTCCTGGTTCAGGGCAGGCACTCTTTTCAGTGAGGATGGGATGCTGGGAACCTGACCTCTGGCCTCCGTTCTGCTACCCATGGCACCTTACTTGACACACAACAGTAGTCCTGCTCCTCTCAGCCACCTTCGATACACCTGCTAAGGGGAGTTTCTATTTTTTTTGTCACTGTGTTGTTTGTTTATTTTAAGGGGGGTAATGGTCTCACACCATAGCACAGGCTGACCTTAAACTCATGGTGATCCTCCTGGCTTAGCCTCTGAAGCAGTAAGACTGTAGGCATTAGCCATCCTGTCCAGCTTAGACATTGCTTCCTTAAGGGGGCTGGAAATAAGAGAGGGGAACCCCCTAAAACACAGGAAAATGCCATAATGATGTCTAATATCTTCTGCATTAATCTAAAAACATGAAAGAAAAACTTTAAATGCATGATTGTGCTATGAAATGATGTAGCAGGAATCTCAGATGGTCTTATTAATAAAAACAAACCCAGTGCCAGATATTGGGGTTGATGCTGGAAGATCAGAGAAGCAGAACAAGCTACAGCTTCCTCACCTTGCCAATTCCTCAGCTGATCCTGTTTCCTCAGACTGGAAGCCTCTGTGTCCTCATTCCAATGGGTCTCAGCTGAACTGCTGCTCAAAAGCCTAAAAGCTTAACCAGACTAGTTTCTGGTCCTTATGCCTTATGTACCTTTTTGCTTTCTTCCATCACTTCCTGGGATTAAAGGCTCACTTCCTGGGATTAAAGGCATGAGTCACCATGCCTGGCTGTTTCCAGTGTGGCTTTAAACTCACAGAGATCCGGATGGATCTTGGCCTCCAGAAGTC